GTCTCAACCATGCCCTTGCCTCAACCATGCCCTTGTCTCAACCATGCCCTTGCCTCAACCATGCCCTTGTCTCAACCATGCCCTTGCCTCAACCATGCCCTTGTCTCAACCATGCCCTTGCCTCAACCATGCCCTTGCCTCAACCATGCCCTTGCCTCAACCATGCCCTTGCCTCAACCATGCCCTTGTCTCAACCATGCCCTTGCCTCAACCATGCCCTTGCCTCAACCATGCCCTTGTCTCAACCATGCCCTTGCCTCAACCATGCCCTTGCCTCAACCATGCCCTTGTCTCAACCATGCCCTTGCCTCAACCATGCCCTTGCCTCAACCATGCCCTTGTCTCAACCATGCCCTTGCCTCAACCATGCCCTTGCCTCAACCATGCCCTTGCCTCAACCATGCCCTTGCCTCAACCATGCCCTTGCCTCAACCATGCCCTTGCCTCAACCATGCCCTTGTCTCAACCATGCCCTTGCCTCAACCATGCCCTTGCCTCAACCATGCCCTTGCCTCAACCATGCCCTTGCCTCAACCATGCCCTTGCCTCAACCATGCCCTTGTCTCAACCATGCCCTTGCCTCAACCATGCCCTTGCCTCAACCATGCCCTTGCCTCAACCATGCCCTTGCCTCAACCATGCCCTTGCCTCAACCATGCCCTTGCCTCAACCATGCCCTTGTCTCTACCATGCCCTTGCCTCAACCGTGCCCTTGCCTCAACCATGCCCTTGCCTCAACCATGCCCTTGCCTCAACCATGCCCTTGCCTCAACCATGCCCTTGCCTCAACCATGCCCTTGCCTCAACCATGCCCTTGCCTCAACCATGCCCTTGTCTCAACCATGCCCTTGCCTCAACCATGCCCTTGCCTCAACCATGCCCTTGCCTCAACCATGCCCTTGCCTCAACCATGCCCTTGTCTCAACCATGCCCTTGCCTCAACCATGCCCTTGCCTGAACCGTGCCCTTGTCTCAACCATGCCCTTGCCTCAACCATGCCCTTGCCTCAACCATGCCCTTGTCTCAACCATGCCCTTGCCTCAACCATGCCCTTGCCTCAACCATGCCCTTGCCTCAACCATGCCCTTGCCTCAACCATGCCCTTGCCTCAACCATGCCCTTGTCTCAACCATGCCCTTGCCTCAACCATGCCCTTGTCTCAACCATGCCCTTGCCTCAACCATGCCCTTGCCTCAACCATGCCCTTGCCTCAACCATGCCCTTGTCTCAACCATGCCCTTGCCTCAACCATGCCCTTGCCTCAACCATGCCCTTGCCTCAACCATGCCCTTGTCTCAACCATGCCCTTGCCTCAACCATGCCCTTGCCTCAACCATGCCCTTGCCTCAACCATGCCCTTGCCTCAACCATGCCCTTGCCTCAACCATGCCCTTGTCTCTACCATGCCCTTGTCTCAACCATGCCCTTGCCTCAACCATGCCCTTGCCTCAACCATGCCCTTGCCTCAACCATGCCCTTGCCTCAACCATGCCCTTGCCTCAACCATGCCCTTGCCCTTGTCTCAACCATAACCTTGCCCTTGTCTCAACCATGCCCTTGCCTCAACCATGCCCTTGCCTCAACCATGCCCTTGCCTCAACCATGCCCTTGCCTCAACCATGCCCTTGCCTCAACCATGCCCTTGCCTCAACCATGCCCTTGCCTCAACCATGCCCTTGTCTCAACCATGCCCTTGCCTCAACCATGCCCTTGCCTCAACCATGCCCTTGCCTCAACCATGCCCTTGTCTCAACCATGCCCTTGCCTCAACCATGCCCTTGCCTCAACCATGCCCTTGCCTCAACCATGCCCTTGTCTCAACCATGCCCTTGCCTCAACCATGCCCTTGCCTCAACCATGCCCTTGCCTCAACCATGCCCTTGTCTCAACCATGCCCTTGCCTCAACCATGCCCTTGTCTCAACCATGCCCTTGCCTCAACCATGCCCTTGTCTCAACCATGCCCTTGCCTCAACCATGCCCTTGCCTCAACCATGCCCTTGCCTCAACCATGCCCTTGCCTCAACCATGCCCTTGCCCTTGTCTCAACCATGCACTTGCCTCAACCATGCCCTTGTCTCAACCATGCCCTTGCCTCAACCATGCCCTTGTCTCAACCATGCCCTTGCCTCAACCATGCCCTTGCCTCAACCATGCCCTTGCCTCAACCATGCCCTTGCCTCAACCATGCCCTTGCCTCAACCATGCCCTTGCCTCAACCATGCCCTTGCCTCAACCATGCCCTTGCCTCAACCATGCCCTTGCCTCAACCATGCCCTTGCCTCAACCATGCCCTTGCCTCAACCATGCCCTTGTCTCAACCATGCCCTTGCCTCAACCATGCCCTTGCCTCAACCATGCCCTTGCCTCAACCATGCCCTTGCCTCAACCATGCCCTTGCCTCAACCATGCCCTTGCCTCAACCATGCCCTTGCCTCAACCATGCCCTTGCCTCAACCATGCCCTTGCCTCAACCATGCCCTTGCCTCAACCATGCCCTTGTCTCAACCATGCCCTTGCCTCAACCATGCCCTTGCCTCAACCATGCCCTTGCCTCAACCATGCCCTTGCCTCAACCATGCCCTTGCCTCAACCATGCCCTTGCCTCAACCATGCCCTTGTCTCAACCATGCCCTTGCCTCAACCATGCCCTTGCCTCAACCATGCCCTTGCCTCAACCATGCCCTTGCCTCAACCATGCCCTTGCCTCAACCATGCCCTTGTCTCAACCATGCCCTTGCCTCAACCATGCCCTTGCCTCAACCATGCCCTTGCCTCAACCATGCCCTTGTCTCAACCATGCCCTTGCCTCAACCATGCCCTTGCCTCAACCATGCCCTTGCCTCAACCATGCCCTTGCCTCAACCATGCCCTTGCCTCAACCATGCCCTTGCCTCAACCATGCCCTTGCCTCAACCATGCCCTTGCCTCAACCATGCCCTTGCCTCAACCATGCCCTTGCCTCAACCATGCCCTTGCCTCAACCATGCCCTTGCCTCAACCATGCCCTTGTCTCTACCATGCCCTTGTCTCAACCGTGCCCTTGCCTCAACCGTGCCCTTGTCTCAACCATGCCCTTGCCTCAACCATGCCCTTGCCTCAACCATGCCCTTGCCTCAACCATGCCCTTGCCTCAACCATGCCCTTGCCTCAACCATGCCCTTGCCTCAACCATGCCCTTGCCTCAACCATGCCCTTGCCTCAACCATGCCCTTGCCTCAACCATGCCCTTGTCTCAACCATGCCCTTGCCTCAACCATGCCCTTGCCTCAACCATGCCCTTGCCTCAACCATGCCCTTGCCTCAACCATGCCCTTGCCTCAACCATGCCCTTGTCTCAACCATGCCCTTGCCTCAACCATGCCCTTGCCTCAACCATGCCCTTGCCTCAACCATGCCCTTGCCTCAACCATGCCCTTGCCTCAACCATGCCCTTGCCTCAACCATGCCCTTGCCTCAACCATGCCCTTGCCTCAACCATGCCCTTGCCTCAACCATGCCCTTGTCTCAACCATGCCCTTGCCTCAACCATGCCCTTGCCTCAACCATGCCCTTGTCTCAACCATGCCCTTGCCTCAACCATGCCCTTGCCTCAACCATGCCCTTGCCTCAACCATGCCCTTGCCTCAACCATGCCCTTGCCTCAACCATGCCCTTGTCTCAACCATGCCCTTGCCTCAACCATGCCCTTGCCTCAACCATGCCCTTGCCTCAACCATGCCCTTGTCTCAACCATGCCCTTGCCTCAACCATGCCCTTGCCTCAACCATGCCCTTGTCTCTACCATGCCCTTGTCTCAACCATGCCCTTGCCTCAACCATGCCCTTGCCTCAACCATGCCCTTGTCTCAACCATGCCCTTGCCTCAACCATGCCCTTGCCTCAACCATGCACTTGTGTTGACTGGTTGGGCCGGGTGGGCTGTAAGTTGACGGGCAAACGTGACAGTAATGGAAGGAGGAAAGGCTGGCCCGGGCTGTACCAGGCAGGTCAGGTCAGGCTTGGCTCGAAGTAGGCCAGGCTTGGCTTGAAGTAGGCCAGGCTTGTCTTGAAGTAGGCCAGGCTTGGCTTGAAATAGGCCAGGCTTGGCTCAAAGTAGGCCAGGCTTGGCTCGAAGTAGGCCAGGCTTGGCTCGAAGTAGGCCAAGCCAACCCGTCCGGTTTGACGAGCCAGGGAGGTCCGCCGCTTGGACAGAATGGTGCCGGCTCTTGCACAGACCTAATCGGCGGTAGCTAGAGGACTGGAAGCTGCAGGGCATACCTTTGTTGGCTCTGAAGTGCCAATCACACAGACACTACACCGTACTCCCAGATGCGCCCACCAGTTTGACTCTGCAGTAACGGGGTTCAGGGTAGACATGAGCACGAGACGAGTCGAGCCAGGCTCGTCTCTAGCCGGCTGTGGCTCGCCGTACCCTCGAGCCGAGTCGAGTCGAGCCAGTCCGAGCCGACTTGTGGCCCCAGCTGGCTCGTGGCTCGGGTATTATACCCGAGCTAGTCAAGGGCTTGGGTCGAGCCTCATTGGCTTGTGGCGAGCCGAGCCAGGCTCGACTCGAGCAGTCGTTAATTCATTTATCAATCTAGAGAATCATGATCGATGCACGAAAAGATGCGCGATGCGAAGTTGTCGAACGATTGCATATCAACAGTCTAATGCTGTCTAGCCGCTACCTACAATTTGAATAATCTAGAAATTCCTTGGTGAGGCACAAAAACACGCGCGAGGTTGTCGAACAAGTAGATCTGACAGTGTTTCTCAATTCTTTTACACAGTAACCCTAATTTCGACCCGCAAAGTTTTGACGAATTTGTCGTTCTTGAGAAAAGAGGGGAGGGGCTGGGCTGGGGGGGTTGAAAAGGGGTGAGCGAACAAATAGAGCTCAGCGAAATTGGATATAGAATGCTGACGAAAATTTTCAAGAACGAATTACCTGAATACAAACGCATATGCGAAAGGAGTCGAGAGAAAACGAGAACTTCATTGTTTTCGCCTCCACTTTCAAATGAGCACTAAGCTTCGCCACGATTATTATTCGCATGGATGTTACCCGACAACGTGTCCCTGAGATTTGTCTGTGCAGTTTAGTTTACTGTGCATCTCTCCCTCCCTGATCGGAAGAGAAAGTCATTCGTGATCTAGGGATGATCTGATCCGTATGCTGAATAGCGTAGTTCTTACCGCTAGCAACGCGATCCACAGAACAAAAAAATTGAGTCTTATGCCACAGACCCCCGACTCGTCAATTGTTTGTCACAAAACAATGACGAGCCAACCAAAGGCTCGCGACGAGTCAAATTGACTCGCGAGCCATCCCTGGCTCGCCGAAATTGATTCGTCGAGCCGAGCGGCTCGCCCGGCTCGGCGAGCCGTACTCGACTCGGCTCGATCCGAGACAAAGGGCCAATAAAGAAGGCTCGACTCGGGGGAAACCCGAGCCGAGCCTGTCGAGCCGAGTCAAGGCTCGTCGATTTGCTCATGTCTAGTTCAGGGTTTCATAGGTGCTGCTCATGGCTTCTGGGTTCTCCTTTGCAAGGCATCCTCCCCAATGCTGATTCTCCCCAATGCTGATTCTCCCCAATGCTGATTCTCCCCAATGCTGATTCTCCCCATTGCTGATTCTCCCCAATGCTGATTCTCCCCATTGCTGATTCTCCCCATTGCTGATTCTCCCCATTGCTGATTCTCCCCAATGCTGATTCTCCCCAATGCTGATTCTCCCCAATGCTGATTCTCCCCATTGCTGATTCTCCCCAATGCTGATTCTCCCCATTGCTGATTCTCCCCATTGCTGATTCTCCCCATTGCTGATTCTCCCCATTGCTGATTCTCCCCATTGCTGATTCTCCCCATTGCTGATTCTCCCCAATGCTGATTCTCCCCAATGCTGATTCTCCCCAATGCTGCCGTGCCTCTGCTCGCCCATCCTCCAGATGCGACCACAAGTTTGACCCTGCAGCAGCGGGTGGGCATCCTCTTGGGGGTGGCACGAGGCTTGGAGTATCTGCACAGCTTTGGCCTCGTGCACCGCGACATCAAGCCAGCCAACATCCTCCTTGACGCTCACATGCAGGTGAGCTGACTTTCGAGCTGACTCGGAAGTCATCCTACTAGGGGTGGCATGTGGATTGGGGGCTTGGAGTATGAGCACAGCTTCGGTCTGGTGCATTGGGACATCAAGCCTGCAAACATCTTCCTTGATGCCCACATGCAGGTGGGCTCACCACATGCTGGCAAGGCACTTGCTTCACATGCAGGTGGGCTCACCACATGCTGGCAAGGCACTTGCTTCACATGCAGGTGGGCTCACCACATGCTGGCAAGGCACTTGCTTCACATGCAGGTGGGCTCACCACATGCTGGCAAGGCACTTGCTTCACATGCAGGTGGGCTCACCACATGCTGGCAAGGCACAGGTGTGGCAATCGGGCACATGGTGTTACAGCCATCTTCAACCACATCCACCCTCCGAATCAGATGCATCCATCCTGTCTGAATCACATCAACCCCCATTTTGCCCCAAGCCTCTCTGCCGCTTGCCTTGCCTGTCCTTCCCCAGGCGAAGGTGGCAGAATTTGGGCTGGTGCACGTGGGGGAGGGAACGGCAACAGGGTTCACACGCGTGCTGGGAACGGTGGGCTATGTGGACCCTGCTTACTCCCTCACGCACAACGCCACCACCACTGCTGACGTTTACAGGTGCCGTGCAGATTTGAGCCTCACACTAGAAGGATGTCAAAAGATCTGCGGATTTGAGTTTGTTTTGAGTTAGGTTGGATGTGGGCTTTAGGGAATGCAACGCCACCACCGTCACGGGTGTATACATGCAGAATGCACCCTTGAAGTGCAAATGTACAGTGAATGACACGTTTCAAGCAGTGAATTGAATAGAAATGATTTCAAAGCACAGCCTTTTCTTTGCTTGATGCACGTCCGATGAAAGAATGAGAGACAAGGAGTTGGGGCCTAAGGCCCATTCCAATGTCTACGTCGCTTGTCATCTGCCCCCACTTGCATTCCTTGCTCTCATCATGAGATGGCACTTGGCATCCTTTTGATCCTTCTAATCAAACCCTACAGTACACGTTACTCCTTTCTCCCTTGCTCCCTTGCTCCCTTGCTCCCTTGCTTCCTTGCTTCCTTTCTCCCTTTCTCCCTTGCTCCCTTGCTTTCTTGCTCCCTTGCTTCCTTGCTCCCTTGCTCCCTTGCTTTCTTGCTCCCTTGCTCCCTTGCTCCCTTGCTCCCTTGCTTCCTTGCTCCCTTGCTCCCTTGCTCCCTTGCTTCCTCCATGCATCCCTTCTTCCTTATTTTGGTGCTCCCTTCGTTCTCGGATATGTTTCAGGGTGCAGATTTGGTGTTCTCATGTTGGTGATCCTCTCAGGCACAAGTGATTTGAGAGCACCCATTCATCTTTTCATTGTTCCCACATGTGTGTCGTGGTGCAGCTTTGGTGTTCTCATGCTGGTGATGCTGTCAGGCAGAGGAGCCACCATCAATACGACGAGTGGCAGTGAGCCAGACGCCTGTGCTGCCAACGAGCCAATCTCCATCTCCAAATGGGTGTGTTTGCCATTTCCGCCTCAATCCGTCTGCCTGCAATGTTCTTTCCACAGCGCTCTAAACACAACTGCTTACACTCGGATGTTCCACTTATCGGGGTTCCCTTCACCTGTTGTGCCCATGGAACCCGTCCCTATCGTTTCCACCCCCGACCATGTTCCTCCCACCCCCTATCATATCGTTTCCACCCCCGACCATGTTCCTTCCACCCCCTATCATATTGTTTCCACCCCCGACCATGTTCCTTCCACCCCCTATCATATCGTTTCCACCCCCGACCATGTTCCTTCCACCCCCTATCATATCGTTTCCACCCCCGACCATGTTCCTTCCATCCCCTATCATATCGTTTCCACCCCCGACCATGTTCCTTCCACCCCCTATCATATCGTTTCCACCCCCGACCATGTTCCTTCCACCCCCTATCATATCGTTTCCACCCTCGACCATGTTCCTTCCACCCCCTATCATATCGTTTCCACCCCCAACCATGTTCCTTCCACCCCCTGTCATGTATTTCCGAGCCTCCATCATGTGTTTCCCGCCCCCTATCATATCTGTCCGGCCCCATATGGCAGGCAACTGATGTCATGGCGGAAGGGAAGACAGCACTCCTCAAGGATCCCCGCATGGAAGCACCACATGACATCATCATTCGCCTTGCCCACCTTGCTGTCACCTGCACCGCCATGCCCACCGCCTCGCGCCCCTCCATGTCCAGAGTGGCCCAACACTTGGAAGCTCTACAAGAGGAGGCCGGAGGGGGGGATGCGAGAGCGAGGGCTGCAGCGAGGGTTGACGAGAAGCTGTCGAGCCAGCGGCTACGAAGGAGCATGGAAGAGGATCTTGCATTGCTGAATAAGCAAGTGAAGCACGAGAGTGAATCAACGGCTTTTGAGGCGTCTCAAAGATCGTCTTTTGAGGCGCCCCAAGAGGAGGTTACGAAGGAGAGTGGAGGAGGATCATGCCTTGCTGAATGAGCAAGTGATGCACATGTTGACCACTAATGGGATCTAGTAGCTCTATACACGCCCTTTAATTCACACTTGGTAGTCCCTACAGGGTCACCTCGAAAGGGCCTCGGGTGCCTGGCAAAGCCAGCCCCTAACCAAGGGTCCGTGTTTGTAAAGAGATTTCCGTAAGTGTAAAAATCATGGTGTGCACTAAAACATTCCCAAGCTCAATTGCGCAGTGTTAGACGATTGATAGGTGCGTGTGCATAAAAGCTCCTTGCGGCAATATGTCAATCAAGCAATTTTCATTCACAGATACCGTAATCAATTACAACCAAACACAAGCACAAATTTATATTTCGACTAATACACGAGCAAAGTAGACTGTTAAATGGTTGATAAACTGCATCTCGAAGACTTTGCCAAGCAATGAAAATGTTTGTTCAACATCTGTTGCGTTTGGCTTGATCCATCTCTGTAGAAAAACCGTCTTCAAATTACATGTCTCTCGGACGCTTCTGTTGACTTCATTCACGAACGCACGTGTAGAATCATGAACTGTCATATGTTGTGGCCTGTAGTGAGGCATGTCATGGGGGGTACAGTTGTTAGGGTTAGGTTTATGTACCCCAACCAATCTTAGTTCTTGACATGGTATCACCTAGGTTAGGATCCTGTGGGATCCCGATCCTCTCGTTCACGCCCGTAGCTCCCGAGCCTGTCCCGTCCCCTCGTAGTGGTCACGCTTTTACCGTACCCTAGCGCCCGCTGCGTCTGCTGGTCGCGTCGCGCTTGCTCTTTCCCATCACGTTTCCCCCCCCCCCCCGTCCCGTCCTTCGCGTCGCGCCTGCCCGCCGCGTCGCGCCCGTCCCTGCCCGTCCCGTCCGTCCGCCCGCCGCGTCGTGTCCGTCCCTGCCCGTCCGTCCGTCGCGTCGCGCCCGTCCCGCCTGTCGCAAGCGCCACGCCCGTCTCGACCGTCGCGTGCTCCCCCCCCCCCCCCCCCCCCCCCCCCTCTGCGTGCGCGCCGCCTCCTAAAGAGTCAGGTCCTGGCCGACGAGTCTCTGTGGGCGCATGCTTCTGGTGACCTTCCTGCGCCCCCCGACCCTGCACCTTTAGGCACTGACCCCACCACTGCCGACAGAGACCGTTATGCATGCCAGCGTGCTCACGAGACAGCGTGGAAGTCGCATGACGCTGCGGCTTGCATTGCCCTCAGCAGCCTCCTCCCTGAGTCTGAGGAGACCCACTTCACTCAGGTTCGCACTGCTAGTGAGTTCCTGCTTGCGATTAAGGCCCGCTACACTACTCCCACCACTGTCTCTCTTGGTTTATAGTTCCTCCCGTTCCTGTTTCCTGACCTCGCCTCGTTTGAGCGCTCTGCTGACTTGATCGCTCACCTGCGCTCGCTCGATTCTAGCTACTGCGCCGCCTGCACTAACACACAGCTTGCACTGCTCCCTCCCCCATGTCGATTACTATCTATTTCATCGCCACTAGCCTCCCTGGCCGCCTTGCCTCGTTTCGGGACGCGCTTCTTTTGAAGCACCCTAGCGAGCTCATATCAAGGTCCTTGAGTCTGCTCTCAAGGACGTTGAGAGAAACCTCCGCTCGGTAGCCTCCGCCTCTGGTGCTGTGCCCCCTCCCCTGTTTCACGGGTGCACTGTCCCTCAGCTGCCCACCTTTACTGCCTCCCTCGCCGCTGCCACTACGGACGTGACCACAGCTGATGTTACAACGTTTGCGCGGTCTAGGGGTAGGAGTGGCAGGAGGGGCGGTCAAGGTGCGAGTGGCGGCGGCGGAGGCAGCGGAGGTGGCGTGGTGAGCGGCGGAGGCGGGAGTGCAGGGGTTGGAGGAGCGCCTCATGCAACGGCTAGTGACTCCCAGCTGCAGCTGGTGGAGGTGACGCTCGGGTTCGTCAGGCGCCTGCTGGTCTGCTAGCTACAGGTGCTGGAGCAGCAGCTTGGTACCTAACTCAGCGGCAGCAGCAGCAGCAGCAGCAGCCACTCCTCTCGCAGCAGCCACAGCAGCAGCAGAGGCAGCAGCGGGTTCCGGCGCAGGGGTCAGGACTGCATCAGCTGTCGCGCGGTGTCGTCCACCCTCCTTGCACCTACCTCGTTCAGACAGGTACTCGCCGAGGCCTCCCCTGTGGCCATAGCCACCCTCCGGGTCAGTGCTTTGCTCAGCTCACTGACACACTTCGTGCGGCCTATGGCGTTGACGGTCCTGCACCTGACTGGCTTCCCCTTGTTCAAACGTATGGCCCCGCTTTGTGGGGCATGTCTGCTTCTCAGTTGCTTGATCTCTTAGGAACTCCTCATGCTATGTATGCTGTTGTTGACTCTAGTGCTTCTGACTCTGTTACTCAAGTGTTGGTAGCTTAGGTGCTAGTGTTGCTGAGGTGCCTGTTGCTAGTGTAGGTACTTGTGTAGACACTAGTCCAGAAGCTATTCCGGAGGACTCCGCTATCTTTCACTATGGACTCCGAAGCTTCGCACTGTTTCTTCCGCGACCGCACTACGCTTACTCCGCTTCCTGCGCTGGTCTCTATAGCACTGACTGATCCCACTTTGGGACGAGTCACTGCTCGCTACACTACTACGCTTCCGTGCCCAGCTGTTCCCTCGGGTTTCCTGACGGGCTTCCACGTCCCCTCGTTCTCCAGGAACTTGGTGGGTAGTCACGTGGGAGTTTCGATTGAGCCTTTCGGAGAGACTGAGGTTTGTGTAGACGGTGACACGTACACACCTTTGGCCACCTTTACCGCTAAGCCGGGCTTTGGTCTCTACACACTTCACACTGGCCCCCGAGGGCAGCAGCAGCAGCAGCAGCAGCTACTGCCCCCGACCCCTGTCACTGCCCCCCGTCAGGTCCCCGCGTCTCACCAGGTTGCCGCGTCTCACCAGGTAGCTGTGTCTGGTCAGATCCCCCTGTCTGGTCCAGTTGCCGCGTCTTGCTCCTGTCAATCACTCGCCCACCCCACCGTTCTGTGGCACCACCAGATGGGGCACCCGTCCATTCCTCACCTGCGCGCAATGTCAAGTCAGCATCTTGTCTTAGGCCTCCCGCGTGTCTTGCCATCGCTGCCGCCTTTGCTTACGCCACCTTGTGGTCCCTGCGTTGGGGGTCGGCTCCGCGCCACTCCTCACTCCTCCTCCCTTCGTCCGGCCATCGAGCCCTTTGAGACACTCCACTTGGACGTCTGGGGCCCCGCCTCTCGCCCTGGCCCTGAGCGCGAGCGTTTCTTTCTGGTGGTCGTTGACGACTACTCCCGCTACACCACAGTGTTCCCCCTGGCAAAGAAGTCTGAGGTGACTTCTACGCTGATCAGGTGGTTGCTTACCACTGCAGACACTCGTGGTCGTCGTGTCAGCTGTCTTCACACCGACCGCGGGGGTGAGTTTCGCTCCGGCGTTCTCGCTGGATTCTGCCGCGAGTAGGGCATCCGTCAGTCCTGGACGCTTCCAGAGTCCCCACAGCAGAATGGGGTTGCTGAGCGCTGCATAGGCTTGGTCATGGAGATTGCCCGCACCTCATGACTCACACCCGTGCCCCCCATTTTCTGTGGCCCTACGTGTTTTAGTACGCCGCTCACCAGCTGAACCTCTGGCCACGTGTCTCTCGGCCAGAGGCTTAACCAACTAGTCTTTGGACCAGGTCCCTTGGTGCTGCATCGCGCTTTCGTGTCTAGGGTTGCTTGGCACTTGTTCGCAACACCTCCGCAGACAAGATCTTGCCTCGCGCAATTCCATATGTCTTCCTTGGTTTTCCAGAGGACTCCTCTGACTTCACCTTTTACCACCCTCCCCTTCACCGGTTCTTTGACTCCCGTGATGTCCCTTTCAACGAGATTGTCCCCTGGTACCCCTGTCGAGGTCTCCCGGTTCCCCCCCCTCCCCTCTTCCTGACTTCCGCTCCCCCTCCTGCTCCCTCAGTACAGCCCCCCCCCCCCCCCCCCCCCCCCCCTTCGTCCAGCCTCGTTAGGTGTGTCCCACGCTACCCCTCCCCCCTCGGTAGCCCCTCAGGTACACCCTCCTTCCCCACAGCCCTCCTCACAGCCTAATACAAACCCTATAGGAGCAGGTGTTTGTGGCGAGGACCGTGGAGGTGCTAGTTCTAGAGGAGTTGGAGTTAGAGTTGAGAGCGTCCCTGTGCGAGGTCTTGGTTCTGGGGGTGCTGGAGTTGGAGATGAGCTCGTGCCTGCAGGAGACCCTAGTCTTTGAGGAGCTGGAGGAGCAGCAGCAGCAGCAGCCGCAGCCGGAGGAGCAGCAGCAGCAGCAGCCGCAGCCGGAGGAGCAGCCGCAGCAGCAGCAGCAGCCGCCGCCTCCTCCTCCTGTCTCTGGTCTTTGGACCCTCGCTCTCCCCTCTCCCTCTCCCCCCTTCTCCCCCTCCCCTCCCATCTCCGGTCCTCCGCTTCCTCCTCCTGACCCCTCCCCAGCTGTTTTCCCTCGTTCTCAGCCTCCATTGTCTCCTCCTCTTTCTCACACGTGGCCTTCTCGTCGCTCTCCTCGTGCTCGTCCCTCGTCCCCTGTTCCTTTCACTGACCATTGTACTGCCCTGTTTCATTCTAGTCCGCCTAGTTCGTGTCCTTCTGTCCTTCCTTCTCCTCTTGAGTCGGCCCTCACTACTTCCCTCTCTACTATCACAGACTACTACCGCACGTACCGTCCTATTCTCTCTCGTGTTCTCGCCTCTCTTGTTACCGACCCTCGTGCCTCTCTGTCCTCTGTCTCCGCTCTTACTGCCGCAATCACTGAGTTTGCCTCTACACGTCGCCTTGACCATGCCACCAGTCTTGTGACTGCTCCTTCTACCAATCCTCTGGCCATCGGGGGTGAGTCTGCCCTTGGCTGTGACGCCCTAGCGGAGAGGCAGTTTGAGCTTGAGTTCCTGGCAACCGCTTCCCCTCATCTCTATGCCATGCTGCTCGCCCCTGAGGGAGACCCCGACGCCCTTGACATACCAACTCCTCGCACTTACGCTGAGGCAGTGTCACAGCCTTGGGCCTCTCAATGGAGAGCTACCATGGA